TAACCATCCTCTAAATACATACATTTTTTCATTTATTATTATTATTATGTATTTGTAATATGTTATCCATCATGAGAAGATGGACTACAGATTTAAAGATTGAGTGAAAACTTCACAGGTATTGATTCTCAATTTAGATTTCCTGTTATAAAAACATTGATTGGTTAAATAAAAGAAAGTTTATGAAAAAAGGGCAAACATCATAACATATCGATATAAAACTGAACACAAAACATTGCCTTATTGCGCCTGCTCATGAAATCATAGGCTTGTTATTTTTAGATGTACTGGATAGTCATAGATTACAAAAACACATTTAAAAAGGTACGAGTTAACAAAACACCCCATTGAGTATTTGTACAATGTTAAATGGCTGTTTGCCAAGGGTATTGCTCTTTGAATCTAATCCATTTTTTATTAAACACCATTAAATGTCAACAGCAGAACAGCATTTCTGTTCTCTAATCCATTTATACAATTCTCATCTGCATAATAATATTCTTTTTTCTTTGATGGTTAATCCTTTTATTCATTAAACTAAAATAATAAAGAAATGTATAAGTAAAAATATATACACTGATCAGCCATACCATTAAAACCACTGACAGATAAACAGAATAACATTGATTATATTGTTACAATTGCACCCGTCAAGGGGTGGGATATATTAGGCAGCAAGTAAACAGTTCTAATTTCATGTGTGAAGCAGGAAAAGTGTGAAAGCGAAAAGATAATAGTAGTAGAAGGAGCAAATTTGTGAGTAGCACTTTTGTAAATCCTCCGAAGATATATGCAACAGAGAACAGGAGGGCAGGGGAAATAGGAGTAATATAGTGTAGTATTTAACATAACTTAAAGTAAAGGAGAAAAAGAAATTGAGCTAAAGAGCTCCTCTGGATAGAGCCTGAGCAGTATCATCCTCTCCTGAGGATATTCTGGTGCATCTGTTGATCTCAATATATAGTCCAGTAATATGGAAAGGAACAATATATTGTGTTGTCATTTTAAGTGCAATTGGTGTTATAAAACTGAGTAAAATAGGAAGCACACTCACATTTATTGGAGCCTAGTAAAATTGAGGCTTGAAGCACTCGGAAATCGCTTAATTAGACTAAATAGGAAGTGCCAATATAGTGGCCGTGAAGCCTCCATCAATGGTGTTCAATGTCATTGGAGCTCAACGGGTGGAGCAGTGTGGTGGTCGTGGGCCACGTGACCCATGACCATATCAAAAGAGGGTTGAGCTACCTGCCAGTTAAAGGGGAAAGACAGAATGTATGACATCCCTTTGACTCTAAAACCAAAGCACTTAATGCAAAAATAAGCTCTAGTAGCAGAAAATAAAGCAAAAAAGAAAACAATCAGAATGACCAATATGGCAAAAATGGACAGAATCCAAGGGGAGGAAGTATATATTACTCACCTCTGACCAGATAAGTAATGCCCCAAAAAAGAAAGACAAACTGATAAGCCTTATTAGTGGGAATAGTGCTTTTAACCCAATTAAAACTAGATTATTGGGTAAGGTAAAACGTATATATCTGAAAAAAATAAAATAAAAATTAAAGTAAGCCTGACCGCCATGTCGAGAGGGTGCAGCGGGCCAGTGGTCCTGCAAATCCTGTCTTTTTCATGGCTTAGGGGATCCACAGACTAGACTAAACACATCCAAACTGCAGACACCCAAGCCTGGTACCTTGTGGGCAACATCTGTGCTGGCTCCAGGTCCACCTGCACATGCAACTGACCAGCTGTGACCTCTGAATCATCGCGGCCCTCAGCGGAGGATGCGACTGATCTCTGCTGCCAAGGCTACACTGGCTATTCTGCTGACTGGCTATTCCTTGTACCTCCCCACCCCCTCTGAGCCAGTGGGAGTTAACCCAGTCCCGACCACGCCAGATTCTACTCACCTCAGTCCTGTCTCTAGGCGACTCCTGTGCAGCTTGCTTCCTCGTGGTCCATTCAATATGGGGATGTAATGCATGAGTCGCAGACCTCAACCAGCACATGGGAAGCAGCTTTTGAGAGGGCATTCAATGCAATATGCAATTGCTTCTGGAGTAACCTGCAGACAGAGCAGCCATCTACACCACCTGCTGATGCTGAGGACACTACACCAGGCAACAAAAATGTTTAAGACTAGTTTACCATAAATTACTTTGTTTATTTGACCAGTTTTAGTTGTTGCTCTTTTGTAAAGATACATAGATAGATACATTATTATAACCTAATGCAGGGGTAGGCAACCTTTTAGCGGCACTGTGCCAAAATAGGATTGTGATGTCCCGTAGCATGCCGGTCCTATTTTTTTAAATTGAGGTGTGCATGTTGCCGTATTCTGCTTGTGTTATTTATACTACCGTTGCTTTGTATTGTTGTATTTGAGCTATTATATTGTATATGTCCATGAGTAGTTTGTGGTATTGTGTATGATACTTATGTATGGGGGCTGCTTGTGGAATTGTGTGTGGACGGATATGTCACATTGTGTATTTGGTAGTGTGTGTATGTGTGGGTCTGTTTGAGGTATTGTATGTGCAAGGCTGCATGTGGGGTTGTGTGTATGTACGTAGATTGTTAGTGGTTTTACGTTTGTGCAGATTGTGAGTATGTTTGTTTGTGGGCTGTTCGAATTATTTGTATGAGGGGAGGGTTATTCTGCATTTCTCTGTATATCTATCAGTATCTATCAGTGTGGATGGCTTCCCTGGGTTCCAGGGCTGCTCTACTCCAGTGTGGATTCCCATTCACAAGTGCTGGAAGGAAATTATATGAGCTCACTTCCTCTACGTGCTGCAATGCATAAATCGAGGATTCACTACCTTTTCGTATAAGCACATATCTGAAGTTTCACTGGGACTCCTGATAGGCTGTTTCATTGTCACATTTGCTGATGATTCCCATTGTTGTGCTTTACATTTTATGCAATCCTCTTAAAAAAAATAATATTTTAAAATAAAAAAATAAAAATGACATGGTCTGAGCATTAAGTTTCTGGCTTTTGTTGGCCACATTGCTTTTAAATTCCAGGAGGTTTTATATCCATGACAAAGTAAAATGAATTGGTTGAAAACAGAAAATAGTTTGATGACTAGACTTTTTCCAGTGCTTAATAACAACATGTGGATTATTAAACATTATGTAGCAATTACCATTAAAAACAAACTTTTTTTACCCTCAAATATATCCTTGGGGATAAATCTGTTACATATGGACAGATTATTTGAAAAAGTAATATATACAGAAGCATTAATGATTGTAAATCACAACATTCAAGCTGCCTGTTTCCAGGTTATTTGAACAGATTTTATTTCCGCTAGTCTTTGATGTTTCCTGAATTTTCTAACACATTAAAAAAAATGAAAAATACAGCAAACTGCGGCTTCCATTTGCAGTTCTTTATAGTGGAAAAAAGTTAATTCTTAATGAAAAGGATGATGAAAGTGCTCAGGCACTTTAATAAACACTTTTCAAAACTCCATTACTGGAACCGATTTTTGAACTAATCTAGCTACCCCTCATCCTGTTAGGTATTACTTGATTCAACAAACCTTTTCTCTACAATTTCTGAATAATTACAGCACAGACAAACTTATTTAAATTATAACAGGTGGATTTCGTTTATTCATCAACTATTCATTATTTTAATGGGACTACGCTATCAAAAAAAGTGATTTCATACTTTTAATGGGGAGATGTTATACCTGCATGACTATATTTTGTAGAGAAAATATGATTTAATACTTTCTTTCCAATACACTTTTAATCTTGATTTATATTTGCTGATGCACAACTGACCTTCCTGCTTTCATCTAAAAGGCAAAATATGTCATGAGAGGGGTAATTTTTAGTGTAGGACCTGTCAGGACAGTAAATACCATTAACCCCTTAAGGACCAAACTTCTGGAATAAAAGAGAATCATGACATGTCACACATGTCATGTGTCCTTAAGGGGTTAATCACATTTTTATGTGCAGATGAATACGTGACAGGACCCACCTAAGTTGTTTGCCTTGATGTGGTAGGTGAGATTACACTTTAATGGCCATTGGAGTACTACTAAAAATCTCCAGTCCTTTAAATGTGCATAAACACAACAAAAATCACTCTGCCTCCCTACTGGCAGCCAGACTACAGTAAAAAACAAATACTGTAAAGTAAAAAAAAACACCAATAGTAATAGAGTGTGCAGAGCTATCAGAATATTGCACTTACCCCTATGGGTTAAGACAAAAAGTCAGTGCTGTAAAATAAAACACTTACAGTGCAATACAGCCTGCTAAAATGAAGTGAACATGAACTCAATGGAAGCACTCACATGGAGAGAGAGAGAAGGAGAGGCTCAAGTCGCTTCTGCTTTAGTGTGCTCAGGTGACACTCAACCTTTTCTGATATGATGTATGATGTCCTCATAGATAGAGAAACAAAAAAAGGAAGACAAGGAAGCAGTGCCAACTCTAGTGTATTAAATCCTTACAGTGAAGGTATAACTTTAAAATGCAGTTTGCTTCTCACCTTTCTTAGAGCCCAGACTTGGCTCCAAGTTTGAAAGTAGATGTAACCTTATGGGAGATACTTTCCCTCTTTGTGCAGAATCAGCAGTTGTAGACTACCCACCAGATGACTTTCGTGATGTATATTTAAAAATGTATTGTATAGAAAGAAAATAAAAACAATTGAATACATACAAATTAAAAGTGCTGGTAAATTCAATCTCAATCTAAAACAAGTTTTGCCGGTCAAAACCTGGCTTTCTCAATCGGTATAGGTGCTGCTGCAGTCTGAATCTTAAATAACTCTCAGTGTGCACTGATTGGGGGACAGCGATTGTGATACTTCCAATCGCGAGCGCCTATTCCAGGGGGAGTGCCTCACTCAGCTGTTCGGCATTGGTGATCTATCATTTAATTGTGACGTCATCGTGCACACTGAACCGTAGCGTGTGATGTCCCATCTGGCTTAGCTCCACTAGTCCGGGAATTTCATGCATAACCTGGAAGTAGTGAGGGGTCAATTATTTCCTTTTCCCATTGTCTTGATGCTGTTAGTACAATATTCCTTGATCATCCAATGGCCATCTTCAATGTGGGCTAAATCATCGAAAGTCCTCCTTGTTGATCCGATGTTCATCTTAATTGTGGGCAAGAACCTCTTCATTATAGAAACATAGTGGGTAAAAATAAATCAGTAAAAAATCAGAATTACATAACATTGGTTCTTAATATACTATATATTCACCCTATGAACGTTGCAAACTTTTGTGAATGCACAGTGATAAAAATGCCTCCCATGGTGTTAGTTGATGATAGTGTACATACATAATAAAATGTATTATTAACCCCTTAAGGACTGAGCCAGTTGTACAAGTTGTGATTAAAACAAAAAATGTAAACAAAACCTGAAATCTGCGCTATATGTCTGTCCAACCATAATTCGCCTCTTTCATATTAAATGCACCCACACTTATTATATATCTTTTTGTTCAGGAGAAACAGGACTTGTGAAAAATTAAGATTTTTTATTTTTTTATTTCTTTAGTACTGCATGGCATTTTAACTGGGAATGTCAAAATACTGTTAGCTGGCATTGCATGAGCCTGCTATCCCGGCCATGTGATCGCAAGGACCCAATGATCACATGGCCCTGGATGGCCGGATCGTGCAGAAGGGGGCTGCCTGAGCTCCCAGGCAGCCCCCCGGATCGCGACCGCCGTCGTGAGAACGGCGGGGACCTGGTAAGTCCCCTGGACGGCGGGAACATTCTATGCTGCCCTCCGGCATTTAGGACTGCCCAAAAAAGGACGGCATAGAACGCCCACCGTCCTTAGGGGGTTAAGGACTGAGCCAATTGTACAAGTTGTGATCAAAACAAAATGTAAACAAAACCTTGAATTTGCGCTATATGTCTGTTCAGGAGTAACTCACCTCTTTCATATTATGTGCACCCACACTTATCATATAAAATTTTGTTCAGGAGAAACAGGGCCTTTATGTCACATCAAATATTTGTATATTAAACATAATTTAATATGAATAAATCATTTTTAAAAATGAGACATTAAGAAATTGTGTTTTTTTTCTAGTTTTGCATGGCATGTTAACTGTGAATGTCACAATACTGTTAGCTGTTACTTCAATAAAGGACACATATTTGTTTACACGGGTAAAACAGTACCACCAATGTACAGGTTTTATGGTGTTTTTGAAAGTTACAGGGTCAAATGTAGCACATTACATTTTTTCAGTTTATACACATTGAAATTTGCCAGACTGGTTATGTTGCCTTTGAGACCAAATGGTAGCCCAGGAATGAAAATTACCCCCATGATGGCATACCATTTGCAAAAGTAGACAACCCAAAGTATTACAAATGGGGTATGTCCAGTCTTTTTTAGTAGCCACTTAGTCACAAACACTGGCCAAAGTTAGCGTTCATATTTGTTTGTGTGTGAAAAATGCAAAACAACTAAACTGAACACTAATTTTGGCCAGTGTTTGTGACTAAGTGGCTACTAAAAAAGACTGGACATACCCCATTTGCAATACCTTGGGTTGTCTACTTTTGCAAATGGTATGCCATCATGGGGGTAATTCTCATTCCTGGACTATCATACGGTCTCAAAGGCAACATAACATCGGACAAATTTCAATGTGAAAAAAAGGAAATTCAAGCCTTTAGTAACTTCAGTAACTTTTGAAAACACCATAAAACCTGTATATGGGGAGCACTGTTATACTTGGGGGGCTTCTCCAAACACAAATATTAGTGTTTGAATTTAGTAAAATGTATCAAAACAATTATACCGTCAGTGAAAGTACTTTTTGTGTGTGACAAATGCAAAAAACAGATTTTTTACTGACGATATCATCGTTGTGATATGTTTTACTGTTTTTAAACGCTAATATATGTGTTCAGCTGAATCTCCCAAGTAAAACAGTCCCCCTTATGTACAGGTTTAATGGTGTCCTAGAAAGTTACAGTGTTAAATATAGGGCTTTGCAAGCCAAATTCTCTGGACTTTCTGCCTGGGTTCTCGGGCAGGCCCCTCAGATTGTAATTAATAAAATGACTTGATTATGTAAAAATATTATATAAATATATTTGTCGAATTTAAATATATATATATATGTAGAGATATGCATATATATATTGTAGTGGATGGCACTGGGCTGTCCTGAAAATTACATGTGTTTAACTGCATTTGTGTAAACTGCTGGTTTTGTATGTGTTGAAATAAAGTGTATTCGTCTGATTGTTCGGTAGAATCATTCGAATAAACTAAGGGAATGAAACTACCGAACAATCAGACCTCCCCTGTTTGAAGTGTGCCTTCAATTACCCGTTGCAACAATGTTGCGAACAGGTAATTAACAAGCTATGCAGTAGATCCTTTGTTCGCGGGGTGGCCGCCATTCAGGAAACGAACACGTGGTGGCGGCCATTTTAAAACTCCTGAACAGCGGTGTTTTGCCGTCGAGTGTCTGGAACTCAAATCGGACACTCGACTAGGCGAACACTGCTGAGACCTCCACAAGCCCGGTCCGTTCGGTTCCAGACTACCGAACGGCCCCTCGTTCGGTAGTCGCAACAACCGAACGAGTGGATTCATGCGAACCCTACCTGATCTCTGTAGCCTTAGCCTTTCATGTAATTTATTCCCTTATACTGGGAACGACCGCAAGGCCCCATCGCATGGAACCCAATTTGGCTGTTCTCTCCAGCGCGGCCGGTCTTTTTAGTACTTCCATAAATTTCCCGAACCCCTGGTCCGATCTGGGTGATTTTTGGATATGTTGCTCACCCAGATCAGGGCTATCAGGGGATGTGCCATTTAAAGGGGTACCCCTAGGTTTAGGGGTACATCCAGAAACTGGGGGAATTTGTGTACAGTATATGGGATTATGAGTCAGGCTGAGGGGAGGAGATAGGTGGGAGGTTACTATTGTTGGATTAGGTACTGTACTAATTGATGAAAGTCCCTCCCTTGCATGGGAGCATGCTATATAAGGCCACTGTGGAATAAAGGTTTTCAGTTCTGCTCCTGATGCTGTGTGTCGTCCAGTTATTGGGATTGCTGTTGGGATACTGTTGGATTATTTTACCTGCTGGAAACCTTGCCTGTGGCTTTATAATTACTTGTTCCTGAGCCTCACTGGGATCTTAAGCGGAGATAATCTGTGGAATATTGTATCTCCGCTACATTGGTGGCAGCGCTGGGATCCAGACTCACAGAGGAACAAGCACAAATGGAGTACGGATGGAGATTGATTTTGCTACACTAAAACGCTCCACATTAAAGGACCTCCTAGAGGCAAGGGGTATTCAAGCCAGCAACAAGAAGAAAGCGGCACTTATTACCGAACTCATGGCAGAGTACCGAATGGATGGCGGTTCGGTTCCCAAACAGGGGGATTCGGGGGAAACACAGGAACAAATGGAGTTCCAGAGACAGTTACAATTTAGGCTGTCTTTTTATGGAGAACACCTGTCAGCAGAAATTATTTCCAGGACCATGACAGAGGTCCAGGAATTCATACTGAGGCAACGGATAACAACAACCCCAGAACGCAGCTCTACAGTAAACGTGCCACAGGAAGGTAAGCCTAAAATACCATATCCATATCCATGGAGGACGTGATACAAATGCTGCTAATGGAACAATTTTATGATGGGGTGACAGCAGATGTCCAGGAGTGGGTAAGGGACTGAAACCCTACCTCCCTCACAGAAGCAGCTAGAAGGGCAGATGAGTACATGGACGCACGCAGACAACAAAAACCTGCAGTTCCAAAAACCCCATGGAAAACCTTTGGGGGAACCAACTACACCCCAGTACCACCCAGGCAACTACCACCGCCACCACCGCCCGCTGCACAGCCACGGTTTCGCCAGCCGAGCTCTGGGCCCTGTCATCACTGCCAGAAATGGGGGCATTATAAAAGAGAATGCCCACAACTATGGGATCGTTCCACCTGGATCCGACCAGGCCCACCACCACCACCAAGAGCGGCCACAGCCCACTGCTACCAGGACATAGTTGCAACACCGTATGGTTCAGCAGTGCCCATTACCACCGTGGAACAGTGGGAAGTTTTGCACGAAGCCGATCCAGTCCAAGCCAATGCTGATAATCGTCAGCACCATAGACAGACGGTATACTTGGAGGGTAAAGCGGTCCAAGGACTACATGACTCAGGAGCTACTATCACCCTGGTAAAGAGTCACCTGGTTTCGGATCAGGCTAAGCTCAGTAAAACTGTAGCCGTCAGGGTAGCTGGGGGAGCAGTGTACCGGCTACCTACAGCAAGGGTACATTTGCATTGGGGAGCGGGGTCAGGACACGTGGAGGTGGGGTTGATGCCGCAGTTACCGGTGGAGGTTTTGTTGGGGAATGATCTGGGGAGGCTCACGTCTGCTTTTGAGCCCCAGATGCCCACCACAGGAGAAGCTCACCCTGTGGTCACCCGACAACAGGCCCGCACCCAGGACTACAACACACTCCCGGAAGTTCAGTTAAGAGACCCTTCTCCTTCCTTAGAATGTGTCCCCTGGGCCCCACCTAATGAATTTGCAGCTGAAGTAGTAACCGAACCTACGCTGCAAGTATATAGGGACAAGGTTGTCACTGACTCACCCGGGGGGAGGGAGAGAGATTTGTCTGGGACAAGCAGCTTCTAGACAGGGAGACAGACAAGCAGATTGCTGGGTCAGACCCGATAGTGAAAATTACATGTGTTTAACTGCATTCGTGTAAACTGCTGGTTTTGTATGTGTTGAAATAAAGTGTATTCGTCTGATTGTTCGGTAGAATCATTCGAATAAACTAAGGGAATGAAACCGAACAATCAGACCTCCCCTGTGTGAAGTGTGCCTTCAATTACCCATTGCAACAATGTTGCGAACGGGTAATTAACAAGCTATGCAGTAGGTCCTTTGTTCGCGGGGTGGCCGCCATTCGGGAAACGAACACGTGGTGGCGGCCATTTTAAAACTCCCGAACAGCGGTGTTTTGCCGTCGAGTGTCTGGAACTCAAATCGGACACTCGACTAGGCGAACACCCCTGAGACCTCCACAAGCCCGGTCCGTTCGGTTCCAAACTACCGAACGGCCCCTCGTTCGGTAGACAGAAACAACCGAACGAGGGGATTCATGTGAACCCTACCTGATCTCTGTAGCCTTAGCCATTCATGTAATTTATTCCCCTATACTGGGACCAACCACAGGGCCCCATCGCATGGAACCCAATTCGGCTGTTCTCTCCAGCGTGGTCGGTCTTTTTAGTACTTCCATAAATTTCCCAAACCCCTGGTCCGATCTGGGTGATTTTTTGATATGTTGCTCACCCAGATCAGGGCTACCAGGGGATGTGCCATTTAAAGGGGTACTCCTAGGTTTAGGGGTACATCCAGAAACTGGGGGAATTTGTGTACAGTATAAGGGGATTATGAGTCAGGCTGAGGGGAGGAGATAGGTGGGAGGTTACTATTGTTGGATTGGGTACTGTACTAATTGATGAAAGTCCCTCCCTTGCATGGGAGCATGCTATATAAGGCCACTGTGGAATAAAGGTTTTCAGTTCTGCTCCTGATGCTGTGTGTCGTCCAGTTATTGGGATTGCTGTTGGGATACTGTTGGATTATTTTATAGTTAATGATATAGTTAATGACCAGGGAGCTTTCCTTTCAGCACCACTTCATAGCTCAGTTATTAGAAATGTTGGAAGAAAAATATTATCTATAGAGCCATGTTTTTTTAAATAGAACACTTAAATAACCCATGGTGCTTCCACAGACACCAGGATTTGGGTATGCCATGGTTCTTTTCCTCATATCCTAAAAACCCAATATATTGTAGTGATATAACTGCATGATAAAAATTAAAAGAAAGGGTTTTCAATTACTTATGATGTTAAAATAATTTTACATGCTCTACTGTAAATGTGTTGGTTGTGAGGACACAGTTACATTGATAATGTGACACTTCAGACTTGAGTATATACATATATAAGGCAATAAAACAAATGCAAAACAATAAAATAAAAAAATACATAAAATTCCCTGCATTAGATGTAAATTCACAAGCTTTGACGAGTCTGCAGTGTGCTCAGTTAATCATCATGATCACTTAAAGAGACATTCTAAGCCACTCCACATCAAAGTAGTGAATATGTTGTTTAGTGTCTCCTTACTGTTCCAAGGTTTAAATTTAAAACCATTCAGGAATCATTTGAAACTGCATGTGTAGTGGACCTGTCCAGCCATCCGACCCTGCTGGAGGGTGGTCGAGAAAGATCTCTTGAACCTCTTGCAGATCCCACAGCGTCTCACACCAGAAATATGCCTGTTGTTAATGGGCATGGGAAATCAACCCCGAGTGCACTCTAAAATCAAATTCCAGGTGATAATAGCAGCTAACACCCTGATAGCCCGTGCATGGAAGACACCCCAGACACCAAGCAGAATGGTGATACATGCTCAGGTTAATTCAAACTGGGATTATGAAACCACGTCACACATCCATATAGCTCCTATTAATGATACTTTAGAGGCCAAGATATTATGGGATAATTACACATCCAGTTAAGGCACCACAGAGACTCACATTGACACAGAGTGCCCAGACTAGGGGACTCACCAAACAGGGGCACAACACAAGCATTAGTATAATACCTATGAATATATGAAAAAAAAAAAAAACACACACATTAGAGCTGGGACAACCAGGAGTTTCTGTACAGGAGAATAAAGGTGACCTGCTCTGCCACAGGATGGAAACCTGACAGGAGTAACTGGAACACTGCAGCTGACGTTTACCCTCTCCAACCCCTCCCCCCATTCTCCTCTTTCCAGGCAGCATAATGCGGCGTAGCAGCCGTCTAAGGGAACAGCTAAGTGTCACCTCGGTGGAGTCAGTGATCATTGTCAGCTGACAAGGGTACCATATACGCGCCCTGTTAGATTGTTGAGGCGCACTCTGGGTGCAAAGACATACAGGTGGTACACACTTCACAACAGTGAATATCCTATAACAGGACACGGAAGGCGCACTTCAAGACAGTCTAGCAACCTTATAGGGCATACTGAATCAGATAATGTACCAAATATATAAGAAATGCAAAATAACTATGTAAAGTTAAAAAAATGTATTGAAAATTCTGTAACAATTACATGCAAGTGTATTACAGTTATTGTGCTTCTTTGTTATGCTGTATACAATGACACTGCTAATCCACCCCCCTCTTCTTCATTCTGTACTCACACAAAACCTTAATAAAAATTGTCAATTGGGAAAAAAATTATAATTTGAGATACACCAAGGGGTCTTCCTGGCACCAGGGCCCGCTCCATCACGGCTATATTGATAAAACTTCCACATTGTCAGTATCAAATTCATCCAACCTTGGTGTGTTGACTGGTTGGGAGTGCTGGGAATATGCTTTTTTTTATTTTTATGCTTGCCAGACAATAGTGAACAGCAGAATCCTTCTTTCCCCCCACTTTTTATGCCTAAATTTGTTTATCATGAATTGATCAGGCTTACTATAGATGTTCACATTTTTGTAAACAAGTAACACGTAAAATTCTACCTTGAATGACTCTTTGGATAATTACTTTCCACTTGTAGGAGCTTCGGTTCCTGATTAGTTTTCTTTGTAAATATTTATTGAGTTCTCTGAGTTTATAACTACATGAAAATAGAATAAAGTAAAAAAACAAAAAACCTCAAGGTTCCAAAAATCTAATTTGAGACTCAATTGTTGATATTTAAAAAACACATAAAATAGCATTGACATCAATAAACAAGTTTTAATGAACCTATTTAAAAAGATGTACATTTAATTGTAAAATACAAAATATAATACAAAAAAGATATGTAAAAGAACAGAGTAATTAGAGTGTAGTGAAACTACATTGGAACTAGTACATTAACATGGTGCAATTCAGGGAGAGAGGTTACTAAGTAAGACGTCATAGCAAACACACTCAAAAGAAGAAAATAGTAAATTGATGAACAAATGTTGAAAATGTAAAACTCAGGACACTATGCTAGTATATGTACAGATGGACAATCTATAAATTAGGAACTTCAGACATGTCTAGGCTAATGTCCATGTCAAATCACTGGTAAGAGTTTGCTTTAATGGAGGAATATGATGACATAATCTTCAAAGTGTGTACATAAGATCCCAAAGAATAGGGCATGCATAATTGTCTTAAAATACTACAAAGCTTATAAGCCCAGTTTCCCCAAAGGTTCTGACATTCTAGGAATAGTGAACGGTAGACAAGAGAAATTTGGTTTGTTCTGAATCCTATTTGTCCGAATTTGGCAAAAAAAAGCGTCCACATTTACAAATTGATAGAACCTAAAATTAACAAATTTGGAACCAATTGAAACAGATTATTTTGGATCCAATTGTTTTCATAGAGATAGCAAATTAGGGATTTATATACTAAGCAACTGAAAGAGCAAAATTAAGAAAAATGGCTTTTCTTAATGCTAATCTTTTAGCTGTTTAGTAGATATCTCCATAATTTGGTATTCTTACTTGGGATTAACATAATAAAGGCATCAATTTAGGGACGTATCTACTAAGCAACGGAAATAGCAAAATTCAGAAAAACAAATTTGAGTTGTTTTTCTCTTTTAACTGTTTAGTAGAAAGCTAATTTTAGTAGGTAGGTTAATTTTGTATCCTGTGTATATATATAATTTTGTATCCTTAATTTTGTATCCTGTGCATTCTATATACATGTAGCACATACATTCTATAAACATACTGCAAATATATTCTATTTACATGCAGCACACACAATCTATATACATGCAGCATATGAATTCTATACACATGCTGCATTTCCATTATGCATACATGCAGCACATGCACTCTATATACATGTAGCCAGGGGAGTCGGGGGGGGGGGGCTAGTGCCCCAAAAATGGAGCTCTATAACCCCTGGTCTCCCCCCCACTCTGCAGGATTGGCAACCCTAACTACTGTCCATGCAAAGGGGTGCCTCTAAAGGCTGCTGGGGAGATCAGAGATTTTCCTCACCTACCAAATACCCAGATTATATGGGGAAAGGGGAGCCCAGAGAGCCTCTGCTCACACATCACTCTGCCAGGTGCAGAACTGGTATAGAGGTTCCTGTGAGCTCCAGGCAGTCGCTGTGGGTTTTATACATATATCATACTACACCACCTACATACACATCCTCACCAGCAAACACACACTACATCCCCTAAACACACTGCATAATTTAAACACACCATCCTATACAAACACTGCGTCCCCTATACACAGGCACTGAATTAAATCTCAATCTACAGTGCCTAGACACACGTACTACTCCACAAACACAAGACAAAGATCTATTTACACACAGCTGTGGAGTTCTGTGGTACACAAATATGTACATTCTGGTAAGATTGTGTGTTTGACTGTGTCTTTGTGTACCTGACTATTTCTGTCTATGCCTATTTATACCTGTGCTTACCAGTGGCTCTGTGTGTCTGTCTATGTCTGTGTGCAACTGTGTCTGCTTGCCTATAGCTGTGTGTGTCTGTCTGTGTCTGTATATGCTTGTGTATACCTGTCTGTGTCTGTATGTACCTGTGTATGTGTGACAATGTGTACCTGTCTGTGTGTGCCTGTGTATTCCTGTCTCTTTGTGTGCACCTGCCGATGTCTCTCTCTCTCTCTGTGGACCTATCTGGCCTATGTATGCCTGCCTGTGTATGTGCATGTGTCTGTGCCTATCTGTGTGTGTGTCAGTGCCTGTGTGTGCTTGTGCATGTCTGTGTTTACCCACCTGTGTCTAAGTGTGTTTATGAGTATCTGTGTGAGTCTGCAAGTAATTGAAAGTGTGCTGAGAAGTGTGTTAAGTAATGGATTTGTGGAGAGGGAAAGTTGGAGTTTGGGAAGGTGTCACCAAATTATTTCAGGGCTTAAGCCAAGGGTGTTTTTTGACCCTAGTAATGCCCCTACATGCAGCGTATATGTTCTCTATACATGTAGAATATACATTCTGTATAAATTCAGCACATACATCTTTTTATACATATATACATGCCATATTTAATGATACCAGATTAGGAAGGGACCTGTGTTTAGTAGATAGCTCCCTGTTTTGCTGTCCTTAAATATGGCAATCCCACTTATAGAATATAGTGTATGTGTGTAGGGTATGTAGTGTGAGTGTAAAAAATGCAATGTGTGTAGGGGATGCAGTGTTTGTGTGTATAGTGGACACAGTGTATGTGTACGTGTTTAGTAGAAGCAGTGTTTGTGTATAGTGGATGAAGTATGTGTGTAAATTTGTGTGATGGGATAGTGGCTGTGATCTGAAGGGCAGCTCTACATTTTATCATTCTTTTATTATGATTTTGTTATGTTTATTCCTCCTCCCTGTCTCTTACCACTGGCCATAAGGTTATTTGATTGCACTCTTTCACTTTGATGTCAAGGTAACAGCAGAACGCTACAAGCCACTTTGTGTATGGGTAGAGAGGAAGTGAGTGAACTTGATTGCTAAGAAATGAGATTGGCAGCAGGAGACATTTAATAAGAAATAGAGGCATAAGGTATAACAGTTATAACATGAACAAATAATTAAAGTGTTTAGCTCTTTAAACTTGAGGTTCATTTACAAATAAACTAATCTTTCTACACTTTGGAAAAAAAACATTTTTTCTATGAACCAAAGGTTGGATTTATAATGTGAAACACGGTGCATAAACACTAGATGGCACTGTAGCTGCTTTCTTACAGATCAGAAGAGAGGAGACTTAAGTCCAAATAGGTAATAGAGTGGTGAATAAGAATCAGTCGCCATAGAAGTCAATATAAATTGTCTCCACATTTATCACTTTACCCTCCAGTTTTACCTTGATGGATAATTTAGCAATCAACACAAAGTAACACAATCATTCACAGTGAAAACCTAAGTCCATCAAGTATTGGCTGTTACAATTCCTGTTACCTGTCTGCAATCATTTATCCATTTTTTATATTTCCATTCACTTGTTCATTTTATTTATTTATAATTTAGCCTAGACTATACACATTTTGCAAAAATATTTCCGTTAATCTTAAAAACAATAATGTTCACACCAAGTTCACACCACATGGTTAAAAGAACGCAGCCCAAATAAAAGATATCAAAAAATAAATTATATTACCACTGTTTAGTAAATATAACCTAATGAAAACATGTATATATTTAATTTTGCATTTAGTTTCATTGGAGTTATATCTAAAAACAGCTCACAAAATTTGCATATCTTTTGTCTGCAGACTTTTCAAGTCCTTCAATTCTAACCCCGCCCAGACTTTCTGTGACTGTCCAATCACAGACTTTCCAATGCAACTCAATAAGTATTCTTTGCAAGGCAGTTTCTTTGGGAAATTGTGTCTTGAATTTAGCTCGACTGAACTAATCAACCTGAAAATAACAGAATCAGTTGTCTGACTGACAGCCAGGCAGTTGTAATAATATTCATTTATAAAGGTTGCAGTTTCTTTTTAAGTTTGCACTTTTTGTAAAATGAAAAAAAGAAGAAGACATACTCTTCGCACAAAAAGCAAGCTCCAGTGCATTAGGTGTTTGGAATGTCCCTTTGAAGCAGATTTAATAACACACCATCAACTGCATTCAGTATAAATCTGAGTATCTTTTATTAACCCCTCAATGACTCATGATGGAAATTTTCCGTAATGCTGACCTTTTACTTCTGAAGCTGTGTCCTTAAGGGTTTAAAGCTAAAAGTGATATATATTTTTATGAAAGGTGTAACTGATATCCATGTAGGGACAATCATGGATAATCATGGAGAATGTTTGCTCCATGGAGTTCCACAACATGGACCTGACCAAAGGAGAGCAGAAGTGAATACTAAAGGGACAAATGTGTTAACAAAAATGTGTTTCACCTCAAACAGTGGTCAGAGACAGATAGTGAGAAGATATAAAGGCTAGTCTTCCATTATGAGACACATGACTGGGTAGTTAGCTTAAATGGATACACACTATTTAGGAAGGACAGAAAAAACAGGAAAGGTGGTCGGGTATGTTTGTATGTCAACCATGAGTTAAAGCCAAATCTTAAGCAAGTGGAAAGTGATGAGGAAAATGTGGAAGCTTTATGGGTAAATATCTGCTTGGGGCAAAAGAAGAGAAACCAACTATTGGTTGGGATATGTTATAAACCACCTAATGTAAATGTTGACGAGGAACAACAGCTGTTTGAGCAAACTGAGAAAGCTGAAAATCTTTTTAAAGGGATACTCCAGGCACCCAGACCACTTCTGCCCATTGGAGTGGTCTGGGTGCCAACTCCCACTACACTTAACCCTGCAAGTGTAATTATTGCAGTTTTCATAAACTGCAATATTTTCATTGCGGGGTTAAGTCCTCCTCTAGTGGCTGTCAACTAGACAGCCACAAGAGGGACTTCCGTGTTCTTAGCACACGAAAAGTGATTTCTGCGTTGCTGGACGTCCTCACGCTATGTGAGGACCTCCAGCATTGCCAAAATCCCCATAGGAAAGCACTGAAAAATGCTTTGCTATGGGGAGGTCTAATGCACATGCGCGGCCATTGCCGCACATGCGTATTAGGTCTCCCAAGCCAGCTGACGTCAGCGGGGGAGGAGAGTAGGTGGAGCCTGACCCAGCGCCAAGGACATCAGCGCTGGACTCCGGTAAGTCACTGAAGGGGAAGCAACTTGGGATGGGGGGTGGGAAGGAGAGGGGCACTGCGGGAACCTGCAGTGCCAGGAAAACAAATATATTTTCCTGGCAATGGTGAATCCCTTTAATTATTGGAGATTTTAATTACCGGGACATAAATTGGGACAGAGGGACTAGTAGCTCAGCAAAGGGAATTAGGTTTTTGAACTTGTTAAATGGCACCTTCATGTCACAACTTTTACAAGCACCAACTAGAAATGAAGCATGTCTGGACTTGGTTCTAACAAACAATGTTGATCTTTTGACCAACATTCAAGTAGGTGAGCACTTGGGAAATAGTGATCACAATATAGTGTCCTTTGAAATAAACTAAAAAACAAAAAAACAAAAGCACATGGGATATACTAAAACATAAAATTTTAAAAAGGCCAATTTCTATAAGTTGAGGGCAGATTTACAATATATTGACTGGCATAAACTCTTTAGTGAAAAGAACACTGAGGATAAATGGATCATCTTCCAACAAATATTACTAAGGTACATTTCTCAGTATGTACCATTGGGTAATAAGTATAAAAGAAACAAATTGAAACCAATGTGGCTTAGTAGAGAAGTAAAACCAGAGATTAAAAATAAGAAACGGGCATTTAAAGCATTTAAATAGGACAAATCATATGCATCCTATAAAAGATATAAGGAAGCCAATAATGCGTGCAAAAAGGCGATTAGATTAGCTAAACTTCAAAATGAAAAAAATTATATCCAAAGAGAGCAAAACCAACCCCAGAGCATTCCTTAAGTACATAAATTCTAAAAAAAACACAAAATTAAAGTGTAGGTACACTAAAAACTGAAATGGGGTGTTAGTTAATGAAGACCAGGAAAAGGCAGAAATTTGAAATAACTATTTCTCTTCTGTGTATACTAAGGAAGAACCCATGGCGATAAATGTACAAATGATTGCTGCTAAAAACGTGCAGAAAAATTGTAATTGGTTAACTCAAGACAAGGTTCTGCAGCAACTAAGAAAGTTAATATAAACAAAGCTTCAGGGCCTGATGGTATCCATCCACGAGTACTTAGGGAACTAAGTGTAGAAATAAGTGAGCTTCTGTTTTTAAGCTTTCAAGATTCTTTTCTTTCAGGAAGTGTTCCGGAGGATTGGAGGAAAGCAGATGTGGTTCCTATATTAAAAAAGGTTTTAAAATCCTTGCCTGAAAACTATAGACCTGTGAGCTTAACTTCTGTGGCTGGAAAAGTATTTGAAAGGTTATTAAGGGATAATGTTCAAGAATTCTTTGATAAGAACATGGTTATCAGCAAAAATCAGCATGGTTTTATGAAGCACAGGTCATGTCAAACTAACTTGACAGCATTCTACAAAGATGTAAATAGAAGTATAGATCAGAGTGTTGCAGTGGATATGATCTATTTGGATTTTGCAAGGCATTTGATACAGTTCCACACAATAGATTAGTGTTCAAACTCAAAGAAATCGGTTTAGACGAAAATGCTTGTTCTTAGGTAGAACATTGGCTTAAAAATAGAGTACAAAGAGTTGTGGTAAATTTTCAAGCTGGACAGAGGTGGCAAGTGATGACCCTCAGGGTTCTGTTTTGGGACCCATTATATTTAACATATTTATAAATGATCTTGAAAAAGGCATGTAAGTCATGTTACAGTGTTTGCAGATAACACAAAACTCTGTAAAATAATACAATGTGAGTAAGATATTACTTTGCTGCAGAGGGATTTAGATAGACTAGGGGACTGGGCACTCAAATGTTGAAAAATGCAAAGTTATGCACTTCGGTGTAAAGAATGCACAAGCAACGTATACCCTTAATGGAATCAAATTATGAATAACAACACACGAAATGGACTTGTGAATTGTTATAGACAACAAACTATGCAACAATGTGCCATGTCAATCAGCAGTGGCTAAGGCCAGTAAGGTAATGAAAAAGGGCATTCATTCTCAGGATGAGAATATCATTTTGCCTCTTTATAAATCATTGGTAAGACCACACATTGAATATGCTGTGCAATTTGGGGCACCTGTTCTAAAAAAGGATATTAGAGGCGGGCTACAAAATTAATAAAAGGAATGGAACCTATCAGCTATGAAGACAAAATTTAAACCTCTTTAGTTTAGAAAAAGTCGCCTGAGAGGGGATATGATAACATTATACAAATATATTCGGGACCAATACAAACCATTGTGTGGAAATCTATTCACAAACCGGACTTAACATAGGACACATGGTCATCCGATTAGACTGGAAGAAAGAAGATTTCGTCGAAGGCAAATAAAAGTTTTTTTTTACTGTAAGAACAATAACGATGTGGAATTCTCTGCCTGAAGAAGTGGTTTTATCAGAGTCCATACAGATGTTCAAACAGCAACTAGATGCATATTTGCAAAAACAGAATACTCAAGGATACAATTTTTCAATGCAGGGTAATAGCTTCTTGATACAAGGATAAATATGACTGCCATTCTGGGGTCAAGAAGGAATTTTTTCCTAGTTTGCTGCAAAATTGGAAGTGCTTTAAATTGTTTTGTTTTTTTTTTGCCTTCTTTTGGATCAACCGCAAAAAATTAAATGTGAGGAAGGCTGAACTTTTCAGCTATGTAACTATGTAATTCCCAGAAAAGTGGAGTTTCATTTTCATTCAGACCTGGATGGATAATTTTATTTTTCCTACGGTGCGTGTTATACGCCGATAAATACGGTATATATTTGCTAACAATTGTTTGGCAGAACCTATATGACAAGATAAACTAATTGAATATGTATATATATATATATATATATATTTATATATATATATATAATATATAAATATACAAATATATAAATAAAAAAAGTATATAAAGATAAAAAAAATATATAAATATATATAATATTTATTATATATATTCTGACAGTATGTACAACTCTTTGTAGAAGCTCACTGATGCCACTGATGACTTGGCGCCCCCATGTAACTCGTCAAACTGTATGCTAATGGTTTGACTGGTTACCTGGGGTCCACCAGGAGCCACTCTTTGACCCTTCTGTTCCAGTATAGAAAGTCAAAAGTTCCTGCTATGATGGCCAAATGCAGTGAGGCAGGAAGCTGTGCTTGGCAGACTCCAGGTAAGACATCAAGCTATTAGTAAACGGACTACTTAGATTGGGAGGGTTCAAGGGCAATCCTGGTATCATAACCACTACAGTACACTGTAGTAGTTTTGGTGTTTTGAGTGTTACTTTAAGGTTGTGGCAATTAATATGCCAAAACCTTTGTTTCTTTAACTCCGTTGAATATGTTGTATTTAATGATTTCATAACTCAAAATGGTAAAGAATTACATAATAATGTTTGCAAAAATAATACATTTTGTGATTTTTTACGACTTGTTATATTAAGGGTGTTTAATTTGTTCCTTAAAACAAAGCAAACACTCCACAGTGAGATATGGCACAAAAGCTGGAAACATATTGAAAAGTTTTCTAAACATTGAAATTTCATAGCAATGTGTATTGTTGCAATCACTGTACAGAACAGCAACACATTTAGACCTCTTGACATAAAGTTCTGTAATTTTAAAAATATTCAGATTTTTTTTATTTGTATCAAGGCAATAGAATTAAGAAAATGTATTCATATTTATTCAGAAATTGGTTCTAATATGAAAAATAAAATATTTACCTTACTAGCACCTGGTAGTAAATGTAATTTAACATATGGGTCTGCAAGTCCATTGTGGTCCATTGGTTTCAGGCCCTTTAAAAGAGAAGAAACAATTGTAATTATAATGTAAATGGTGCTCAGTTAAAAACAAAATATATATATATATTTTTTTAAATCAGTACTTATAAAAAACAGTTATCATCATCATCAAATACTGCCTTCATTAAGACACGTAGATTGATAGTTGTAAATACTTTTTATCCCCTTAGTGACCAGACCATTTTTAAATTTTCTTACCGTTAAGGCTCTTTTACATTTCTGCGGTGTTTGTGTTTAGCTGTAATTTTATTCTTACTCATTTACTGTACCCACACATATTATTTACTTGTTTCCTCGCCATTAAATGGCCTTTCTCAAGATACCATTATTTTCATCCTATCATGTAATTTACTATAAAAACATTATAAAATATGAAGAGAAAATGTAAAAAAGCACACCTTTTCTAACTTTGACCCTCAAAATCTACTATGCACCTGCAAGCGCCAAAAAACACCCATGTTAAATACTTTCTAAATTTTGTCCTGCATTTAGGAATGCCCAATGTTAACATGTTCTTAGCTTTTTTTTTTGTAAAGTTATAGGGCTATAAGTACAAGTAGCACTTTGCTATTTCCAAATAATTTCTTTTTCAAAATTAACCCAAGTTACATTGTAACACTGCTATCTGTCAGGAATCCCTGAATAACCCTTCACATGTGTATCTTTTTTAAAAGAAGACAACCTAAGGTATTAAACCTGGGGTATTTGACTCTTTTCATGCAACCATTTTACCACCAATCTATACCAAATGTAAAAATAAAATAAAATAATTGGTGATTTTTTTGACACACATAGCAATTTAAGAATACATGTACTGAGAACTGTAAGGGTTACTGCCAACAAACACCCATATTTGTGTTCAGCAACATCTCCTGAGTACAGTGATACCACCCATGTATAGGTGTGGCGGGTTCTCTGGGGGCTAAAAGACCTTATTTGGAGGGTGCACATTTCCAGTTTTCTAACTTGGAATTTTAACAGCTGGTCATCATGCACCCATGTCCTATTTGGGACATTTTTGAAGCCAGCCAATGTAATTTACCCCCATCAAACTAAATATTTTTGAAAAGTAGACATCCTAGGGTATTTCAAATGGTGGTATTTTAACACTTTCCATGCACTAATTCTACCACCAGTCTTTTTCAAACTTTTGGTTAGTAATTTTTTTGTTATTTTTCTCTCACACTGTACTTTAGGCATGGATTCTCAATTCCTGTTATGTGTTACTGACAAAGAACACCCCGATATGTTTTCAGCAACATCTCCAACAGTACAACAGTGCCCCCAAAGTACAGTTTTTATGGGTTTTTGCAAACTTACAGGGTCAAATGTAGGGTTTTCCCCTTTTCCATGTTTGCACATTGAATTTTTGCCAGATTGCTGGGCCTATGTTGCCTTTGAGACCGTATAGCATATTATAGTCATATTTGTTTTTTGCACAAAAACTGCACTTTTACTAGTGATTTCATCGTTGTGATAAGTTTTACTGTTTTAAACACTCATATTTGTGTTCAGTGAAGTATCCCGAGTATAACAATACCCCCCATGTACAGGTTTTATGGTGTTTTGGAAAGTTACAGGGTCAGTATAGGGCTTGCCCAATTCAGTTTGCTAGATTGGTTTGCTGGGTCTGTGTTGCCTTTTGAGACCATATTATAATACATATGTGTGTGTGTATATTTATATACACACACACTTTTATTTCCTATATATGTATAATATATTATTAAAAAAAACATTTTATAATATATTATACATATATTTTGCATATATATGATTTCATTATAAGTGTATTTTGAGATATATATGTACATATCTCAAAGTACACTTATAATGAAATCATATATAGGCATTATATATGTATAATATATTATAAAATGCTTCATTTATTTCATAATAATATATATGTATACTATATCTTTTTTTATTATCTTTTTTACTTTTTAGCAGCCTGGGGGACTGTCTGACAGCTCAGACAGTCCCCCTGCTGGCAGCTCCTATTGTGGCGATGTGATCATAGTGATCACATGGCCCTTTAGGTGAACTCCTGGGGTCTCCTGCAGTCCCCCCCAACCATGATCGCCACGGATCGGAGGTCCAGGTAAGTCCAGGGCTCCTATTTGCCGCAGTCGTACTAGCTACGTCCGCAGTCCTTAACAACCGTTTTTTATGTCCATGGTCGTTAAGGAGATATACATATATATATATATATATATATATATATATTTATATCATTTCATTCTAAGTGTATTTTGATATAAATATATATCAAATACATAAATATATAATTTTAACATTATTTTTACAGTTTTTAATTTATTTTTAATTATTATTTTATTTTTAATAATATATATATATATACACATACACAATATATTTTTAATTTAATTTTGTTTCTGGAAGAAAAAAAATCTCATATATTTAATTTAACATATTTAGAAATATCTTTCAGGATCTTGTATTCAAAATAAATTAGATTCCATTCTCTTTAATGTTTTGCTTCTTAACCACTCATACGCGTTTCTGTATAAAAAAAACAACCATTGAATTCAAGAAGTTTTGGTGTCCTGAAAAATAATGTTCAAATATATTTTCCATTTCAGTATGCCTATATAGTGCATTATTTAATGGAATCAAAAACAAAAAGTTTTGTTTGGACATAAAACACTTATTCACGCACTTACACACACTTATTCATGCACACATATACATACACTTTAATACATGGACATAAATACACACTCAATACACGCACATACACAGACAAACACACTGTACAAATCCACACAATGACACATAGAAATACACACATATATTGACATATACAGTCACACAATCACAGTGTATGTCTGACACTGTGTATTGGTACCCGTGTTTGCATTTCTAGCATTGTTTAGTAGTGTGTCTGGCAGTGAGTATCCATGTGCATCTGTGTATGGGGGCAGACTGCTTGTGGTCTTGCTGTGTGTCTTGTGTTTACAGTGGGCTGTGCTATATGTGTATGGTGTGATTGTGTGAGTATGAGTGATGCTTGTGTGTTTATGAGCGTGACTGTGGCAGGGTGGCTGTGACTGAGTGAGTGTGACAGGTTGACTGCAACAGAGTAAGTGCGACAGAATGACACTGTTTGTGAGAGGTATATGTGGGGAGTGACTGTGACATGGTGACTTTTTGTCATGCTTCCCGGCTCTTTCGTTGGCATGGCTGCTCATAAACAAAGCAGCCATGCAGATGGAAATGTTTTATATTTACCCGAGTCGCGGCAGATCGCTGCCCAATCCCCTCTCGTTCCGGTCACCAGCAAGTGCAGCGTTCTTAGAGACGCCAGCCGCTGTGGTTCTGGTTTAAATAGGAAACTTACTTTCGCCCACAACGAAGATGGCGCTAACGTGCATGCAACGTCACGTCATTGCAGCGTATCCTTGAATGGCACAAGAGCGACACACAAAAACAATGGGTGGCCCTAGACAGAGGGGGTGCTGGGGCGAGCTTGAAGTCGGTGGTATGGATGGGAGAATCAGGGGAGAGAAACTACAGGTACAGTGGAGACCCGGTAGCCCAGACATTGAGAAGTGGGAGTGGGAGTCAATCAGAGAACTGCCACATATCTCACCTACCCTTGCCCCTTACTCTCAAGAGTATATCCCCATCTGCAAAGCCCTAATAGAGAGGTCGCTACAGGAATTGGACTCGTTATTGGAGGATAGACCAAGGACGTCCCTGATGTCTCTTCAACATATGCAACTAACACATTAGTATAACTCGCTCCCGCATAAAGAACTGTTGCACAGGGACCTCACATGGTTTGAGGACCTCTGTGTGCAGGGCACCATGCTTGATAGGGCAGTCTCAACACTATACCAATAGCTTCTGATAGGACCCCATCTGGTGAGCAACACCTTCCAAAGGCAATGGGAGGAACTTCTGGGCAGATCCTTGTAACTGTCACAATGGGAAAAAGCACTCCTGTGGCAGCATAAAAGTTCCATCAGCTCTTATTATCAAGAAGTCAACTATAAACTGATATCTCTCTGGTACAGGACGCCAGTCCTACTTCATAGAATCTTCCCTTCGGTACCCTCGACCTGCTGGAAATGCCAAGAGGAAGGGGGCGGAATAATACCTCTCTGGTCGGAGTGCCCGGACATTATTCCATATTGGGAAAAGATCAGAGCGGATGTGAGAACAATCCTAGGAGATGAAACCGAATGGTCGTCTGTACTAGCTTTACTGCACATATCTTCACAGCTGATCTCCCACTACAATAAATCAATTTTACACCATTTATTAAATGCGGCCAAATCGCTCATACCGGTTTACTGGAAGCGGTCTGAGATCCCTACTCGGGAGGAGTGGATTCATAGGGTCGAGGACATCCAGGCAGCCGAGGTACTCCATGCTTCCCTGGCGGGATGGGGGTCTAGGCACGCGGAAACATGGCAACCATGGTTCATGTTTAAGGCAGATGATCAGTAGATACTGTGAATGATGCGTGGGACATAATGGGGGACTCGATACTCTCTGACATAAGCCATTCTCTCTTCTTTCTTCCTCGTACGACTCTATTTCTCACCCCTCTACATTAAGAGGGCCACCCTCTTTTTTGGCACTGGGCGAATGACAAACTCAGGAGGGGTTATAGAGCCCAGAGAACTCAGACAATCCTAATACGAATGCTCAGCAGCATATCATAGGCCCTACACATATTCAACAATACTAATAACCAATGGTAAAAATTTCAAGACAACAGACAATGGTAACTGATAAATGACACATCCTGAAGCAAATGTATGCATAGAACTGCACATTAACTTCCCTGTTGAGTGGCCTGCGAGCCCATCCTATTCTTACTTACACTATCCTTCTCTCTGGAAAAAATTGTTTAAACTATGTGGGATATATTAGGCAGCAAGTGAACAGTCCAGTTCTTGAATTTCATGTGTTGGAAGCAGGAAAAGCAAAAAAGATCTGAGTAACTTTGACAAGTTCTAAATAGTGATGGCTAGACGACTGGATCAGAGAATCTCAATAACGGCAAATCTTGTGTGGTGTCCCCGGTATGTAGTGATTAGTACCTTCCAAAAAAGGTAAAGGAAGGACTACCGCTGAACAGGCTTTAGGATCAGGGGTGCCCAAGGATTATTGATGCACTAGAACTGTTAGGCCAATATCTTTGGATTATATTATATTATTTGGTTTATAACCTGTGTCATATTCAGAATTTTTATTCTTATTTCCTTTTGGTCTCTACCAGAAGCATCATTTTAGATATTATGGATCATCATTGTCAACATCTATCCCAACATGTTCTGTTGGGATTGTGTACAGTTTGTTTTCTGTTGTCAAGTACCATTTTACTATTAATTTATATCCCTGAAGATATAATGTTGGACACATTAATTAATTCTTCTTGGATCATATACCGCATGTATGGTAGCTCTTACACTATCTCATTGTTCAAGAGCTTTCTCCTTGTAACGCAGCTCTTAAACTCTTTTTATCGCTATGACTTCTAGTTCGTTTGACAGGATTCTTAATGGTATATAACAGAAGTTATATAATGTTACTAAAGACTTTTATATCACATACATTTGCACTTAAACTATTTACAGATTAATTCTTTGAGGAATAATGTAATTTCTATACAGCCATGTTTATATGAGCTTTACGTTTGAAATATTTGGATTTTTATCTCATTGCATAAAATCCAATTTGTTTCCCTTACCACCAATGAAATGAAGTCTTGAGTGTACTGGAGATGCTGGCCAGCTCAGCTGAGATTGGCTCTTGTACCCTGGTCCCAATGGGTTAGATTGAAAATGGAAGGGGTTTTAACAGCTGCCGAGAAAAGGTTGTTTCAATAACCCATACCAGATATAATTTAACCTAGATATGCAAATATTCTAATCGTTTTTAATTTCACTGCATAGGTTTACTTAACAAAACCAATTTTCTCAATGGTACACAAGAGAATTGAAAAGTAAGACTTCTATCCTTCATTGCTAAAGTTGTGATTGTAGCAAAATTAGAAATGTAGCCTACTGAGATCTGTGCCACTTCAGTAAGCTCTCAATAACAACTCCCTTGCTGAACACAAGATTACAGTGTTCTTTAAAGGAGAAACAAAAATAATATATGGTTTATGAATAGGGTGGCACTCAACACTCTCATGGGACAGGGGGCTTTTTTTTACAGATATCAGAAACACAAAACCCATTTTAACACATATAGCTTTATCATATAAGCTGATCATTTGCAGGACAAGCTCATCATAAAAGTACTGTTTTGGAGGCTTTTTGCAGCATTTGTTCAAGGACAGGTGTGTCGTCTGCTAAAATGCTGCATTTCAATGAAACATATGTACTATATGTCCAGATGTTGAAAATCTTCCAGTTAACTATATAGCACAGGGTATATGTTTTTTTTCTTCTTGTTTATGATCCTTGAGCAAATGTTTTTTCCTTATTCTCAGCTGCAGTCATGAATTCAAAGGTGGAATTTGTTAGTAATATTTTTAAAAATAACATTTTAATACAAATGTAGATACAAGCTCATTTGAATGCAAGGTTCTTTCACCTTTTGTTTCCAGCTAAATTAATTTGTGAGTTATTTGCTGTTATGTTTCTCCATAATAATACTGTAAATTACTACACAATAAATGCAAAACATATATTATAATTGATAATAACAAGAACAACATACTGTAAGGGAATAAAATACCAAGCAGCAATAACATAGACAGGGTTATTAACTAAAGTGAGAATTAAAATAAAAATAAAAAAATAAAGTGAATTTAAAATTTAAAGTCAAAATAGCCAACATGGAAGTAATTCTCTAAGACATCTATGCTTTCGGTTTGGCTACTAAGTCTAAGGACACATGACATGTGTGACATGTCATGATTCCCTTTTATTCCAGAAGCTTGGTCCTTAAGGGGTTAAATTTGAAAGACACTTTGAATTTAGCAAATAACCCTGAGACTTAACTTGAAGAAAAGTCTTTTGCTGCATAAAAAATACCAAACAAACAATGAAGTTTGATATTAATGATTAGACAGTAATAAACTTTCCATAAACAAAATGGTGTACGGCCCATGTTATTGTAAATATGTAGGTTTGCCAGCAAGGGTGTTGCTGAGAAATAGCACTATCAATGATCACTATCACACAAATTGATATGGTGTTTTGGGAGGGGATAAGAAGAGGACTAAAAGAGAAATGTGTAACAGAAGGAGAAAAAAGAAGATGGAAGTGATCATTTGTCTGATGATAGTTGATTTAAATAGAAGCAGTTATAAGGTCCACAGCAAAGATGTGACATAACTTATCTGTGCTCATAGAAAGTTAGGCCCTTTCCATTAAATCTCCAGACAAATACTGTAAAAGTAGTTCTGCATATGCAAAACGTGACTTGGCATTTTTGAAAGTCTGGGAGTGCAACAATCAATTCAAGTGATTCAGAAAGCCTGACCAGAATCTAGCGGTATATTAAAGTGTAATAGAACACTGATAAACCTGTGGCCTTATCAAAGAGACAATGGGACATTTCCACCATCTCTGCAACCTTTAAAATAATAATAATAATATATATATATATATATATATATATTTATATATATATATATTTGAAAGAAATACTGGCACTCCAGGATTTGGTAACACAAGATAAGTTCTTCTTTATTCTTACTGTTCCAAATGTTCAATATTTCAGCTCAGATGTCCTGATGAAAGCTCTGTACGAGAGCTGAAACGTTGACCGCTTAGAACTGTAAGAAAAAGAAGAACTTATCTTTTTTTACCAAATCCTGGAGTGCCGGTATTTCTTTATTTCTTTCAATATTTATACTTTATGTGACCAGAGCACCAGGTATTTATTTTGTTAAAGTTGTAGTGCAGGCGCTTTGGATTTATTTATATATATATATATATATATATATATATATATATATATATATATATACATATACAGACACAGTTGTAATCAAAATGATTTGACCTTCATTGAAAATCAGGTTTATAGTCAAAATTTCTAAACTTTCAGCTGTTTCCAATGAACAGATCAAACAAAAGCAATTGTACAATTGTAATAGCTCCAATATGCTCAAAATCCCATAAATAAGTCACAGAAATTCGGGGATTCTGTTCTGTGGAGCGATGAAAAAAAAAGGAACTTTCCAGCCCAATGGATCAGCGGTATGTCAGAAGGAAGAAGAATGAAGCATTTGCTAAAAAGAACACTCTGCCTACAGCTAAGCATGGTGGTCGGTGATGCTCTGGAGCTGCTTTGCATCTACTGGCACTGGATATCTGCAGCATGTGGCAGGCAATATGGATTCATTGAAGTATCAGGAAGTTCTAGGAGAAAACATCATGCCATCTGTGAGGAAGCTGAAGTTTGGGTGTCATTGAGCCTTTCAACAAGATAATGATCCCAAGCATACCTCAAATTTCATCAAGGCGTGGTTGTAGAAGAAGTAATGCAAAATTCCACAGCGGCCATCACAATCAGCTGACTTAATACCCATGGAATCTCTGGTGGGATTTGAAGAAGGCAGTTGCAGCACACAAACCCAAGAATATTACTCAACTGGAGGCCACTGCTTAAGAGCAATGGGCTAAGATTCCTCAGGAATGTGGCAGAAACTGGTGTCTGGATATGGATCTCGTTTGCAGCAGGTCATAACGGGACAAGGGTGCTTTACTAAAAACTAAAGATGCTTGCTATGAAGGGGTTGAATTATTTTGAGACTGAAGAAGTCATTCTAAGTTGCATTTTCAGTTGAATATGGGGAAACTACTTGAAGCATTCATTGTGTTGAGCTATTTCCATTGCTTTTGTTTGATTTGTTCATTGTAAACAGCTGAAAGTCTGTACATTTTGACAATAAACCTGATTTTCAATGCGGGTTGAATAATTTTGATTACAACTATCTATCTATCTATCTATCTATCTATCCAACCATCTCAAAACATAGGTGAACGTTAGAAGAGAACTCAAAAGTAAATAACAGTGCCTTTACACAATCTATTCCTATTGTGCTCAATCACACAAACGGGATATGTAGTACTAACCATTCAATCCTGTCAAGGCTTTATAAGATGCTTTCAAGAAGACATGCACCACTAATGTTAGAGCAGAAGAGAACTGACAATACATGTACATCTCTAAAGAGCCATAAGAGTGGAGTTTGTTGCTGCCATCCCACTGTGTACCACTAATCAAACAATTGCTAAATATATATGTTACACTCTTAACCATACAAAGAAAAATATAAAAAAAACTAAAATGTATACTAATCTTTATAAACATTTGGAGACAAAACAGACTTACAAAAATGTAATCAAGGGGGCGTGGCCTGACTGCAGAGCTGAGAGGATGCTAACCCCAGTAGCTCCTGCAGAATGAAGGAGAAAAGGCAGAATTTTCACTCACAAAAAGCAATTACCCGACACGGGAAAGCCACCAGACAACAGCTGACAACGAGGTGATCATAATGACACCATCCAAGCGACATTCTGAGCGGTGGTCACCCGAAACCCCCATGAGGCCTACAGGCAAGGCAGGCGCAGGAGAGACGGCCGCTCTCTTGCAGCCGCAACACGCTGAGACCCTGAATCCGGGCCTGCGTTCCCCCCCCTATGGACCGGCAGGGGTTATCCCGGTCTACCCTCACACGATCCCCAATCGAAGCAGCGAGATTGCAACATCGAAGTAGAACCCCGAGCCTACTTCCAGCGAGGCCCTCAAGATGGCGGATGCCCGCCACACTGCCAGCCTATGCAGTGCATGGAAGGAAACGGAGCTCCGGCTGAACACAATCTTTGCCTCATTTTGGGAGAAATTGGAAGCCCACATGCGACCCCCAACACCAGAGACTCTGCCCAATAACCTGCCAAATAAAACACAGGAGACCCAGAGTAGCAAAGCCATGACCCCACCTAACGGTACACCGAGGAGAGGCCAGCACCAGCAAGAGGTCCCCTTAGGGCCAAAGCCCAGGAGCCTAGTAATGAGCAGCGACAGACAGAGGCTGGCTTCGGAGGCCCTGCTGGCCCCGACGGGAAAACGACCAAAACCACCCCTCCTGCATGCTGAATTACGTCACACACCTCGGAGGGACATGGACAGTGGGAAGCACCTGGGGAAACGACAGGGTAAAAAGCTCAAAGCGGCGACGACATCAGGAGTGCACTCCCAGAGACGGAGCAACCCACGCTTGAACCAAGGAGCATACCGAGCATGGAGAACCGCAAAGAAGACTTTGTGCACCCCATCAAGCTCACAACCTCACAATCTTGGGACTCTGCCCCACCTCACCTACGAGGCACCAAGTGGGACGCAACAATCTGCACGGGAGCACACTCAGCCCCTACAGGGTGTTGGATGACCGAAAACCGGTGATGAGACACTGTATCAGGCAAAGTGCCAGTTGCATTTTTCCTAATTCAAATTACATAACCCTCGTTTAATGTAGGCTTACAGTGAATCTATTGATCTTTAGTAAGGGGAAATCGTGGGGAGGGGGTACTACTATTATTTTTACTTGTTTGCTTAAATGACAACTGAACCCACACAGGGCATGCCACACATAGTATCGCATGTACACTCACATGCTTCTAAACCCTGAGAGAAAGTCTCTACAAGCATTAATCCATGTGCACACCTCACTCTCACAACGAACACGTCCCTGTGTAATAACCTACAAACCTACTCATCGACCTTATGTACCTAGTGTTTAAGCATTTATTTTTCACTGAATGTGTGCATTTATATCACATACTGCTAATTTTCTCTGAAGCATAGCTATATGTTGATATATTGCCTGCGATCCAAGTTAACTTTATGTGTTACCTATTATTAGTCTATAGCCAGCAAGGCTCAAGATAAGATTGTTTATATATCATAAAAACAAAAAATTGTGCATCTACTCCTGCCACTGTTTAACCTGTATACAACGTGTGCGCTGTTGTGGCACTTGATTTCGCAATGTACTTCCCTGCACAACATAAATAAAGAATAAAAAAAAAAAAAATGTAATCAAATATAATAAACTCTTATAAGGCTATCTGAGGCCCCCTATATCCAACTGGTCATTAAGACCTTGAGATGATATCAAGTTATTAATCCATCCAGCTTCTCATCCTATTTACAATAGGCAGTTACTTGGAAACCTGTTCAAATCTCACAACAGGCAAACATTCGGGTTCCTTTCTATTATGATGTATAAAATGTGTGCAGCTGTGTATTCCCTTTTACCTTTAGAGCATTTACAGTGATCTCTAAACATTTCTTCCACTGTTTGAGAGTTTAAACCAACATAGATCCATTTACAATTTCGCTGTAAAATTTATACAACAAAGCATTGCTCATAAAACAATAATTCATTTCAAACTTCGTAAGCTGCTAGAGTGGTACAAACTAGTAGTGGCATTGCAGGTTTTTTGATCATCTTGAATACTTCCAATATCTTTATATTGATTGATACATTTTGTAACAAAAATCTTCACTGTGTCCATTTTATCATTGACCCTTTTCTTATTTTTCTTTTTTCTTTGATTTTTTTAAATATCATCTTGATCTTGCTCTTATAAGTCCTTCCTTAAATACTTTCCACACTCTTTACAACAGTATAAAATATAGTTTACTCTTCCTTTAATTCATATTTTGCTTCCTCTATTGCTACCCCATATTTGATACCCTCTTTCACTGCTTCCCAAGTTAATTTCCCCTCATCTGGATCACCACTTTGTTATACGTTACCTCCCAACAGAAGATTTTCCTTCTTCCCCTGCCTTACAGTGGATATATTGAACATCATCAACCTAACACTTCCAGTAAACTACCTACCCCCTTATTCCCATAATGTTTTTTCAAAGTAATTCTCCAAAGTAATTTCCCCAATGACGAATTCCCTCAGTTAATCATCCCCAAACATATTCCCTAATACTTTATAACTGCTAGACATATTAACCCAATCAACTGCTCAGTCTTGGACAGGTGACTTTCTAGCAGATACTATGTATTACGAGGATAGAGTAGCATTGTGAAATCACTCCTTTCAGATTCTATGTGTTATGAGGATAGAGTAGCATTGTGACATCACTCCTTGCAGATACGGTGTTTCGAGGATAGAGAGGTGTTGTGACATCAATCCTTGCAGATACCATGTGTTATGAGGAGAGAGTAGTGTTGTGACATCACTCCTTGCGGATACTATGTTTTACGAGGATAGAGTGGTGTTGTGACTTCACTCCTTGCAGATACTATGTGTTACGAGGATAGAGTGGTGTTGTGACATCACTCCTTGCAGATACTATGTGTTACGAGGATAGAGTGGTGTTGTGACATCACTCCTTGCAGATACGGTGTTACAAGGATAGAGTGGTGTTGTGACATCACTCCTTGCAGATACTATGTGTTATGAGGATAGAGTAGCATTGTGACATCACTCCTTGCAGATACTATGTGTTATGAGGATAGAGTAGCATTGTGACATCACTCCTTGCACATACTATGTATTATGAGGATGGAGTAGCATGGTGACATCACTCCTTGCCACATATAAGCCCTGCCTCACATAGCATACCACAATCATGTCCAAAGACCAAACCAGTTTTGTTTTATGTTGGTTGAAGAGAGATGATTGTGGGTGCCCTTTTTTCTCATGTCTTGGAAGCAGTTGGTTGGCACCAACTAAAATATTTAATCTAGGTAAAGCAGCAAAATGCATTTTTTTCATGGCAGCAAGCACTTTTTGACACTACTTAAGACATATTTATATTATTTACAGGGTTATTTACTAAAGTGAGAATTGTACGTAATTCTATTTTTTTTCTCATTTATGGCCAAAGTAGTCAAACTGAAATATTCTCCAAGTCAGTTATAATTCCAGTTTGGCTACTTTTGCCGTACACTTGAAATTCACATTTTGAATGACCCTTTTTTGTTCTTTTATTCTTCTTGTGTTAATACTGCCTACCTTTAGGTACCACTTTGGTCTAAAGAACTCAACTAGACTCTCTATTGGTCAGCTCTGCAATCATGGGCTTATATTATAATAATAATAATAATATAATATAATCTATTAACTCACTACACTGGCATTATACTATGTTTTAACTCTTCATGAAAGTTGCTTGCAGGACAGACATGCTATAAGGGAATTTTCCCAAGGCAACCAATGTGATTTACTATTTTAGCTAGCCCACTTTACTGTCAGGATTACTAGTTGATCCAGCACATAGAACTGTATCACACCTAGGATGAAAAGGTAACTTGTCACCGGGCCTTAGAATGGCGCTGACTTAAAGTAACGAAGAATAGTCAGCATACTTGCCAAGGTCGGGGACACGGAATGGGACACAACGATAAGGGAAAGCCAAAAGTCAGGGATACCACAATACGGGGAAGTCAAAACAAAGCCAAAGTCAATAACCAGAAATAAATGCCCAGGAACTGTCAGGATTACAGTCTGATCCAGCACGTAGAATTATGTAACACAGAGGACTTATAGGTAACTTATACCGGACCTTAGAATGGCCAAGGGATACAGAAAGAGACACAACGATAAGGAAAAGCCAGGGATCAGGGATGCCAGAAAACAGGGAAGTCAAAATCAATGCCAAAATCAAAATACCAGAATAACCAGAATCAATAACACGCTCTCGGACAACCACAAGGGAAACCATGATAGGGCACAGAGCAAGAGGAGAACTGGGCCTAAATACCCCGCCTGTGGATCTGATTGGTTGTAACTGGCCTTTGACCCCAAAGGCAGTTACCAGGTTCCTATTTGAATGATTGCTGCTCAGCACAAACCCTCCTGTGGATTGATTGCTGCTCGGCACAACTTTTCCTGTCAGGACAGTAAATGCCATTAATCATATTTTTATGTGCAGATAAATACTTGGCAGGAACACACTCTCGGACAACCACTAAAGGAAACCATGACAGGGCAATGAGGAAAAGTAAATTGCGTTTAAATAAGCCCTTTACAAATCTGATTGGCCGAAATTGGCCTTTAACCCCAGAACGTGTACGCGCGTCTCCTGCGTGATATCACACGCATGCCGACGTTGTCAACATGGGTGGACATTGGGCTATAATTTGGCGTGGATTCGCAGCGGCCGGCATCCATCAACATGTTGCAGGAGTCAGGTATATAGACGCATGGCCGCTGAGCGCAAATACCGCAAGGTGAGGATGAATATGTTACATTTACATAGTCAACATATTCTTCTACAAACTATTTAATATTTTGACAATAAAAAAAAACAAAAACTGAATACTAGTTGAAGAATTCATAGTATAAGGTTTGACATGTGTAAGCAAGAAAAATGCAGAAAGCAATGAAAAAAGTTTTTAAAAATATATGCTAGTCTACAAGGAAAACATATTGAAAGATGAACAATGCAAATTTGTTTGCACTTCCTTCTTTTTCCCTCATTTTATATATTCAGGGCATGACAATTGTTCCAGCAGACAATAGAAAGTATGTTTTATCATTGTTAACTGCATTCTGACAGCGACCTGCCAAGTGGGACTGACCAGCAGAAGTAAAAAGAAAATAAGACTGCTTAAATAGAATTTATATCTTCAGCACCTGGCTTCAAGGAAAGCAATCTCTACTTACGATTTGGATATTGTAAGCCAGCTATAACCTCAATCACTATTCTAGCAAAAGGGCTCAGGAGAGCTAATTGAATTGTTACACCTGCAAAATGAAATGAGAAGCTCAACTGGCAATAACATATTCATCCACATCTTTTGTTTTCTTCTCCGGTTGACTCTTCCCTAGTGGCCTTTTGTAATTTCACACCTGACCCCAATTATACTACAAGAATACACTATGCCTCAATGCCAGATACAGCATATCATTTACAGTGCCTTGCAGAAGTATTCACCCCCCTTGGCATTTTTTCGTGTTTTGTT